GTACAGGTGAGAGAGAGAGGCATAGGCCAGCTATGGGAGCTTTGCAGGCCACATTAAAAATCAGCAAGGCTTTGGGATGCACAGAAGGGTTTCATCTAAAGGGAAGTTTGGCTATTTTAAAAGAACACTATCTGCTATGAATAAAGGATTGGAAGGGGGCAAGAATGGATGCAGAAAGACCGGTTGGGAGTCAACTGCAATGTCTGGTGTCATGTGCATGTGACCTCTGCATCCACACAGGGTCTTGCACCCAGAAAGGTCCCAGGCTTGTTTTAATGCTCTCCTTTCACTTGTTTGAAATTCTTAATAATATTTTTCATGGAGCACCCTACATTTTCATTTTCCACTGGGCCCCACAAATTATGGAACCATACCTGGCTACTGCATTCCTTCACATGAGAGGTACTGGTAGATATGAGAAGTGAACAGCCAGGGAAAATAGTGCATGTGTAGGGAAAAAGCCAAACAGCATTTATTCGACATCATATAACCTTTAACTATACATCCATCTATCCACTCAATACACATTACACCATTCACTGGGCTTTGGCCAGGCCCTGCAGATTCACAGATGAATAAAACATTATTTCCATCCTTTAGGAACTTAGGGGCAAACAATTTTAAGTAGGTACATATAGGAGGGAATCGTGAATATTGAAAACATCACTGAGATCTGGATTGATAACTAGTCTTCACCCATCAGTAGCTCTGTGAACTGGAGTAAATTACTTAACATCTGAATCTCAGTTTCTTCTTTTCTAGAATAGGGACAATAGTATACTATTGTTGATGTTACAATTATAGCAGACAGTATTTGTAAAGTGGTTAACAAATGCAGTCATTAGTATGGCAACAGAATGAAATATAAATTCAACCTGTATGGTTTATCATGGCTTTCATAGGAGCAAATGAGAACTAATAACTAAAAATTTGGGGTTGAATGCACAACAATGAAAGCTCTGAATTTGGGGCCTGAAGTGTGAATTCTTATCCTTTTCTCTGACACAATGACTGTGATCTTAGGCAAGTAACTTCTCCTCTCTGGGCTTCAGTATCCTACCTGTAAAATAAAAGGCTTGCAAGGATGCTGTCTTACATATGGTATGTGTAATATGGAATAGAATGAATCTAAAAAATGTGCATTGTAAAGTATTTAATTACATGGAATTATTCTCATAGTCTATGCTAAGTGTAAAAGTAGTCTATAAAACTGTATGAACCGTACAATAAAAGGCTTGCAAGGATGCTGTCTTACATATGGTATGTGTAATATGGAATAGAATGAATCTACAAAATGTGCGTTGTAAAGTATTTAATTACATGGAATTATTCTCATAGTCTATGCTAAGTGTAAAAGTAGTCTATAAAACTGTATGAACCGTACAATTCCAAACTTGTAAATATATTTTTGCATGGGAAAAAAGAAATGACATTTAGTTGACTCCAAAATATTAACCATTGTTTTCTCTGGGTGGTAGGCTTAAGGACAATTTTTATTTCCTTATATTTGTGAATTTTTATTAGTTTCCAAATTTACTACAATTAGCATAAACACTTCTGTAATGAGTAACACTCTAATTAAATATTAATTTTTATGACACATCATATAATATGATCTTTACAGATTTTATAGCCCTGAGAATTACATCACCCTACATGTGTTTTCACTTAATAGTGTCTTTCTTTACTAGATAGGGAGATGGTAGTATGAGTTCGGTAATTTCGTTAATACAAATGAAAAATGCTCTTGGTTTTAAGTTTCTGACACCCAATATCAAGCAAAGTATTATAATATGGTACAAATCTCAGCCATTTGGGTCTCTTCAAAAGTGCTTCAAAGAATCATAGAAGCTACCAAAAAAAAAAACCCTTCCAAATTCAAATTATAATTCTTTTTGGATGTTCCTCAGTCTGGCTGACTTACTATGCATATTGTGCAGTCTCTCATCAGTTTTTTTTTTTTTTTTTTTTTTCATTTGAAAAGCAGCTAAAGACTCAAAGATGGTTCATAATTTCCTTTTACTGTTTATTCTGAGTTTGGTCTAGTTATCTTTCTATTTTTGGTCAATGGCTGCTTTCAAAATGATTCAAGAGATATTTATGTTTTATCTTGAAAATGTGTTTCAAATGATAAATTGCTAGGCTTAAAAAAGTCTTCTCCACCTCAAAGAAAAGGGTATCAGAAGTGCCAGCCAGAGCAGGAGTTTGGGATGGATTCACAAGGAGGAGCCAAACAGGATATCTCCCATTCAAACTAAGCAATGTGAACAGCCACCATAAGTATGATTGTGTCCTGGGTGCTTTACTGGTGGCAAGAAGGAGACATCGGTGAGGCACAGTGCCAAGTATGTTACCACAATTTGCTCATTTAATCCTCACAATTATGGAGACAAATTCAGAGTCATTCGCAGGCGAATAAACTGAGGCCCAGAGAGATTAAATGACTTCTCCAAGGTCCAACAACTTAGTACCAGAGCTGAGATTGGAACCTGGATCTGCATGAGTCCAAAGCTCATGTCTTCGATCACTTTTTCAGAGGTCTACAGACTTCAAGGATTAGAGAATTAAGTGACATGAAGGAAAGAAAGGGTGATACTGGAATCTGCTTATTCTCCCCCTCCCCCCGAACAAGCATGATGATGACTGTGAATAAATGAATGAACAAATGAACGAATGAATGAATCCTCATTCCTAATATGCAGAGATGAACATGTGTAACTCACAGTCCAACACTGTTCACTTTCTCCTACTGTCTGCATGTGGTCACAAACATGATACATGATATTTACTTGTTATCTCTACACTGGAGACTACAAACCGGCTAGCTAGACAAAATACATCACAGAGGTCTCATACCTACAGAACCCATCCCATCTTTTCCTCCCGAAGTCTTATTATCCTTTAAGATTCTGCTCTGAAGTCTTCCCTGAACTCCCAGCCTGCGTTTCTTTCTCTTCCCATATATTCCCATGGCAACAAGGATGTATCATTTCCGTAAAGTGTATCATATTATGAAATTATCCGTATAATTGATTCATTCTCTTACAGGACTACTTCGAGGCCAAAGACAATGTGCTTTCTTTATCTCTGTATCTCAGTGTATGCCTAGCATGCAGTAGATGGTCAATAATTATGTGCTTCTCTGGGACTAAGAAAAGAAATGTAATAATGAATACTACCTATTATTAGCATCTTATCTCCAAGGAAAAGCAAATGAAACTGGGAATTTACAGATTCGAATTTTGTTTCAGCCCACAGAGTTCTTTGGTCCTCTTCATCCCCGTATGCACAATATCTCCATAAGAGAATGTACATTTCCATTTCTACACCCCTGTCCTTTCCTGGAGCTGGACTGGGCCTGGCCAGTATAAGCTAGCAGGGTCTTCTAGCGTAAAGGTAGACGAGAAGCTGGTCTTGGCAACTGGCTTCCTGCCTCCATTTCCCTGAGCCCTGTGCTCCTCCTGCTGGTCTCCAGCAAGAACCAAGAAGGGAAAGCTTGAGATCGCCTTGGAGCAGCCATGCTGATGCTCACTCACCTCCTCCTCTGGTCACCGCATCTCATCTACTATAGCCTTATTGTGTCCTTAGGCACATCCGAGTTACTTCTAAGTGAGTTCTGTGTATATGTGTGCTTGTGGTTGGGAGAGGATTAAACAAGGGAGTGATATGATCTGGTTTTAGTGATGAAAAATATTCTGGCAACTATGTAGAAGGTAGACTGTAGAGGGTAATGTCATGAGTCTGTAGGAGTGCATGGTGGCTGCACTCAAGTGGTGAGGTGGACATGGAGAGAAGTGGATGGACAGTCAACATATTTAAGCGGTGTAGGGGACATGATTTGGCTATGGGTCGGATGGGGGTGGTGAGTGGGGAAGACTGACTTGTAGTTTTTCTTTTGGTTCAGGCACAGGGTGAATGAATGAGGGAGCATTGCCTGCTATGGGGAAACCTGGGGAACTAGAGTACTGGGTGATGTAAGGCAAGTCACAGCATCCACAGAGGTGATTTGTATTTGAGCATTTTTATTTGGGGTTTTCATCTTTAGCCAGTGAAAGTCTGTTCACGGGAACAGTTTATTTCCACATGTCACCCATGTCCACATTCAATGTCCCAGCATTGCTTCCTCCAAACCCTTTCCCCTGGCCAAGCTTGTCCTGAGAAAGGCTTCATGCTGGACCAAAATGAAAGAGAGAAAGCATTGAGAATCAAGGAAGGGATTCCCTGACCTTCTGAATTGCTTTGATGGCTGAAAGTAATGTCAGTATTTAAAAATATCCTTATCACTGACCATCTTCAGCTGCCTTTCAGCTTGCTCTTCTAGAGAGCCCAGGACAACCCTGGTCAGCAACACCCTAGCTTGTGTCCGCACAAGGATTGGGAATTGAGTGCTGGAGTTTCACGTCAGGAAGAGAGGGCACAAAGGGAGCAAAGTCTTTTTTAAAAGATTTAAGAATTAAAATGGGGTGACAACCATCCCCAACTCATAGAATTGGTATAAGGGTTAAAATAATTGAAATAAGAATTAAAACAATGTTCAACTCATAGAATTGATATAAGAATCTATGCATGAGTGCACTTAGAATAAAGACTGCCACATAGCAAGTGCTGCATACCAGTCTCTTAAATAGGATAATACCTTTAAAAAGGGTGGAGGGAAAGAGACTTGCCTTCACACAGATTATTGTGATGAGAAGTATAAAAGCTCTTTGAAATCTAGAAAAAATGCTCTGCAAATAGAAGACATTCTTATTAACGTGAGTGCACCATCTAGACTCTAGAATCTCTTTCATCAGGGATGTCCTGGGTGATTCATACCCTTGGTCAACTGATTTCGGAATCAGCCAATGTGCAGAGCCTCAGAGCAGCTCTTATCACATAGTAGATGCTCAGAAAACATTTGTTTCTTTATGTACCACTCCTTTCTGAACTTCAATTTTCTAATGGGTGTCCCCCAGGGTTATGTGTAACTATGCCACCTTTTACCTTTCTTCTTCCAACAGAGATTTCCTGGGGACTAAGGAGGCGTCTCTGCTGCTGATGGCCATGTTCCTGCTTGCTGTGTTCTACCATGGACAGCAGGTGAACTCACAATTTACTCCCACTGTCCTCCATCACCTGACATTTCCTGTTGCCATGAAACTGGCCTGAAAGTCTCCTGCTGTTCTTTGCAGCAAATAGCTATTAGCTGCTTGCAACAAGGTGTGATTCTTAGTCAATTGACCCCCTAGTGAAAAGCAAAGCTGGAGAAGATGATTGGTAAGCAACACAGTGTTAATGTCCTTTAGGTACATCTCTTTCAGAAAGACCATTGTCCTAATAAAAGAGCTTTTGATTTCTGCCTGAGGCAAACTGGGGTCCTAACTCTGTTGCCTGGATAAGATTATTACTAGAGAAGTCATGTGCTGTATTAGGTAAACATTCAGGTTTGAGGATCAGCTGAGCCGGGGTTCTAATCCCAGCTCTTTCACTCAGCAGTGCATGGCCGTGGGCAAGTAACATATCTTCCTGAGCCTCAGCTTCCTCAACTCCAAAATAAAATAGCAATACCTGAAATCGGGCTGTGTGGGAAATCGTTTGAAATAATTGTGCACTGCATTTTGTGTGCTGCCTTGCATGTGTGCAGGAAGAACTTCATTACTGATTTGTCCTGATTAGATAAAGTGCCTACTATATTGGTTCCATGTTCTCTGAGCCCCTACTCTTTACCAGGATCTGGAATGGGCACTGTGGGCAGAATTGTACAAAACCCCATCCCTGGTTCAGTCTCCCAGAGGAGAGCAGACCCCAAATAATGCACCAGAAAGAAGAGACTTGTCCTGGGACTTCAGGAAAGGAAATTATTCTGTATGGGAGCATCATGCAGCCTTCACTCAAGAAGCCTTCCCCTTTGCCTCTCAAAGGCCAGTAGGACTTCTTCAGGTGGACCCCAACTCATGAGCATTCATCATCTGGGGAGATTTTCACTCCCTGAAAGAAACCAGGTCCTGATAGCCTCACTCCTCTGCCCAGGACCCCAGTCCATCTTTCTTTGGTCTGTGTGCATTTCAAAAAGAATAACCAGAAAAAGAGGAAAGCAAAACAAGAAGACTCTCTGAGAGAGCAGAAATAGAAACATCTCACTGGGAAATCACCATGGAAACAGGAAGTCAACAAACTCCTGAAACAGCCAAAAACCCCAAGAACCTAGAGTTACACATATAGTTATTTGTAATAAAGGGGGATGGTAAAATGTACTTAAGAAAAAAATAGGTAATATAAAAATTTAGCAAGTGAAGGAAATGGGGAAAGAGTTAATATTTATTGAGGTTCTACTGTGTGCCTAGCACTTTCCCTCTATTATTTCATTTAATGCAATCCACAACCTGCAATGGGAGTTATCATCATTCCTGTCTTACAGGTGATGAAGGTAAGGCTACTCAGCTAATAAGTGGGAAAACTAGAATTCAAACCCAGATCTGTCCTCAAAGCCCACCTTTTCTACTTCCCTAGACTGGAGCAGAACAAAAACATTGTCTGCACACCCACACAGTGACCCAGGACATTCAGTCCTGCAGTATGACTTTGGCCTGCTTTTATATTTTAGCTGAATTTATGATGAAACAATATGATAAATGTTGAAGTCTAGCCATTTCCAGAATTCCTGTATTTAGGTCTTTCTGGCTATCTGTGAAGACTGGGGTTCTGTCTTCCACATCTTGATGGCTTCCATTTATAGGGGAGAATGCCTTAGTCTGATATGCAAATGACAATCCATTTGAGGGCTGTGAAGACAGAATCAGACAAGGCAATCCTAAAGTAAAACACATGCTCACTCTGTTATAGGTTTTAAACTCACAAGTCAGAAATCCCCAGAAATAGATGAGAGCACAAGTTCAGTGTGAGGGTCCTCATTCCATAATAAGAAGGATGTTTCTGTTTCCTCTGTCACTTTAAGGAATTACTTTGTGCTCAGTCAGTGACCCCCTCCTCAAGTGGGACCCTTCTAACACTCTGACTTAATTTTTCCTATTCTCCATTTGCCCTGGGAAAGCAGATAACCTAATTGTGTTACAATTATGTGTAAAGAAAGAGTATGTAAGAGTTAGTGAGGGTCTGAGCTACTGGGCTTAAGTGACATTTGATATTTTTCCCTTTTATTTCTAACTTTCAAAGGGCTTGGAAATTACATAATCAGATCCCATAACCATAGCAGTTACATGTAGGTATAGGCTTTGGAATTGGGCAGATAGTATTGAAACCCCAATTCTGCCATTTGGTAGATAGGTGACCTTCAGCGATTTACTTGACTTTCTGAGTCTCAGTTTCCTCACCTATAAAATGGGTATGAAAACAACAGGTTCGAACTTCATAGAGTTGTTATAGTATTCTATGACAATATAATTGTAATATACTTATCCCAGTGGCTTGCACATATGAGGGTACTTCAAAAACATCATGGAAAGGTTCTTATCTTTTCCACAAACTTTTTGAAGTATCCTCATATAATAAGTGCTCAAAAATTGTTAGCTATTAATATTTTACTTTGAAAATAAGCCTATGACAAAGAGGGCAGGTATCATTATCCATCTGATCCCAAGACAGGAGCAGAGAGACTCGGGTCCCCTGACGTCACAAGGCCAGCAGGAAATGCCAGACTGAAAGAGAAATCCAGATGCCCCAACTCCTAGTTCCATTCTGTTGCCTCCATGTGCCACTGCCTCCCTATGATAGAGGGGCTTTCTGCAGGACTGCATTACTTCAGATGCCTTGCACTGATAGCATCCTTCAGGATCCTTTTCATCTCAGATCGAGCCTGCTTACTCCTGGGCTTGCTACCTGCTTCCACCAATTTCCAACTCAGTGGCCTCTTTTTAAAGAAAAAGGAAAAAAAGGCTGAAAAATGCCCATTGATGCCTGGCACACAGTAGCATCCAGTGGGAACATGTGTAATTATACATCTCCAGTGACAGAGGCACTTATGTAACCCAATAATTGGGAAATTTCATTTTGCACATATGTGGAAGCAATATGCCAAACACTGTGCCTCCTCCAAAGCAGGTGCACATTGCACGGGGAGAGCAAACAGTCAGTGGCCTCCCACCTTGTGCCTGCTTTACTTGCAGCCCTGGAGGTGTGGTCTTTGCCTCGGCATTTCTATTTATAGCAGAGGAAGCCACACCTGCACAGGTGACAAAGATTAATCAGGCCATTTCTCCAGTCACCTAATAAAGACAGATGCCAGGAATTGTGTGGCTCAGAAGGAAGGCCCCAAGCCTTTGAACCAAATGTTCTTGCTTTAGTGCCAGCAATGCCACTTGGAGAATTGGTGACCTCTAGAGACAGCCTCTCTGAGTTGTCATTTCTTTACCTGTAAAGTGAAAAGGATAATGGTTAACTGTTGAGAATTGGAGAAGACCTGAATGCGGTAACGTATGTATACTGCAGGGGTTAAGAGTCATGGCTTGGAGTCAAAATGCTCTGGGTTCAAAGCCAGCCTCTATTTGTGAGACCTAGTTGTCATTTCTTTACCTGTAAAGTGAAAAGGATAATGGTTAACTGTTGAGAATTGGAGAACACCTGAATGCGGTAACGTATGTATACTGCAGGGGTTAAGAGTCATGGCTTGGAGTCAAAATGCCCTGGGTTCAAAGCCAGCCTCCATTTGTGAGACCGTAGGAAACTGACTTCACCTATGTGCCTCCATTCCCTCAACTTCAAAGTAGACATAATAAAAAGTACCTTGTTGAGTTGTTGTGTGATTAAACGAACTTGAATACATGTGAAATACTTAGAACGGTGCCTGGCCCAAGGCAAGAGCTCAGTACATATTGGTTATCATTACTTGAAGCGCCTGGCACAAAATATAGGAACAGTGTATTTCAGTTCTCTTAGCAGTCTTTTCATATAGCCAGTTCCTCAATGCTTTGGTAAAAATCAGGAAACAGAGTGCACTTCCAATTCAGCTGATAGTTCTTGAGCCAATGCTGAAGAATTTTTACTTTTAAAAGTTCCGTGTCCATATCTTCTGTATACTTTGCTTTTCTCACCATGTCTGTACCACACTGTATTGAAATGATCGCTCTATTCGGTGCCCTCTTGCAACCACTCAGCCATGAGTGAATCAAAGGCATACCGTAGGTACAGTAGATCTTTAGTAAATTAAAGAGGAAAGCTACCTTCTGTGGAGGATTAGTGATATGTGGTACCTGCCTCCATGATACTTGCCTTGCCAAAGACTGTGCTGCACTTGGATAGATCATCTCTTAATGGACATGCCTTAGATGCAGTTACCTGTAGTCACCAGGTCAAAAAGCAAATTGCGTTCTTGTCTTGTACCTGGAAAATTCTTACTTAAGTCAACTCCAGCTCTCCAGATTTCCCTACTCATGTTTCTGAGTTGAATTCAATTAGATGAGTGCACTTTAATCAGAGAAATAATAAATTATGGCATGCTTCAACCAAGCATGAATTTTAAGGGGGGGAGGGACCATTTAATTTGGAAATACTTGTAAATAAGAAAATACTGTCCTGCAACTTGACAAATCAAACCTTGATGCTCTTGAATCTGGAGGGAGAAAATATCAGAGCACAGCTTTGATCTGACTTCATCCACAAATGCCTTAAATTATAGGAATACCTTATAAATCTACATTTTAGACATTTCAGAATGGTTTTGAATACAACATGTCACTTGATTCCTATAATAATCCGTGTCTTTTGAATTATATATGATGGGGGCAATTAACCTTAGTTTTTAGAATGGGAACTGAAATACAGGAAGCTGAATGACTTTCCCAAGGCCACACAACAACTTGGTAAAATATTCAGGACTAGTATTCTTTTATACAACCTGCTGTATCCACTCACAATTCTTTTAAATCTTTTTTTGTGAGAAATTGCAAACCTGTACAAAAGTAGATAAAAAAGTATAATAAACTCACAGCTTCAACAATTATCAACTAATGCCCAATGTTGTTTCATCTATATCTCCAATTTTGCACATTGTCCTGTCCCCCAAATTATTGTGAAGCAAATTCCAGACATCCTATCATTTTATCTGTACATACTTCAGTATGTATCTAAAAGATGGAGGGTTTTTAACCTAATCACAATACTATAAATACATCTTTTAAACGAAAACAGTAATTTATTAATATTGTCAACCCTCTGGGCAGTGTTTCCGTTTCTTAATTAGCTTATAAATGTATTTTTTGTGTGTTTGTTCGAATCAGAATCCAAATAAAATCTACAGATTGCTATTGGTTTATGTGTTTCCTAAGTCTTTTTCAAATCTATAGGTTCGAGATTCGATGTTGATGAGGCGGGGAGATGGAGGACAGAAAGAGGAATTGGTAAAGGGACATGAAAATCAACTACATTGTATATTGATAAATAAAAATAAAAATAAAAAATAGAATAATTTAAATAATCATTCAATAGATGTTATTTTAGGTGATATAGGCACAAGCCAAAATAAAAAAAGCTTTATGTGCTATAGTTTTACTAAATAAATAAATAAATCCACAGGTTCATCCTCCGTCTTTTTTTTCCTTCCAATATTTTGTGAGAGCGATTTGACCTTTATAATGTTTCCTAGCCTAGAGTTTGTTCATTGCAACATCTAAGCTTATTTAACACATTCCTCTATGCTTTGTTTTTTCTGTATTCTTAGTTATGTCTAGAAGGTTGGTAAGATTCAGGTTCAATTTTGGGGATGAAAAATATTTAACTGGTCTTTTTGGTGAATTACAATTAAGAGGCACATAATGTCTCCTTGTCTCTCTTTTTGTGATGTTAGTAGCTGTTGATAATAATAGCCTATACTCATTTATTTTATACTGATATTCTAATCCTGTCAATACTCCACAATTTACTTGCTGGAATAAATGATTGTCCTCACCAACTATTTGTTACCTGGAAGTACAACGTATAAAGCAAAGATGAATGCTAATTTTTTTTTTCTAAAAGTTCTCTATAAATTTCCCAATAAGTTTGACCCCTAGCATCATTCAGAGGTGATGCATGAGGTTGTTTAAGTGTCAATTTATGCATTTAGCATATTTCCTGTGTTTAAGTACATTGTAATTATTATTCTTATTAAAGCTCAACTTGTCACATCTTTGACAAGTGAGAGCCTATTTTGGTTGTCTTTTGCTTCCTTTTGACATAACCCCAGCAGTCTGATACTCCCCTTGTTTCTCGTATTAAAAAAATGTTGCAGGCTTGTACATTTTCTGCCCTAAACATTATCTATTTCTGGAAGGAGTGGGAGTCATTTTTGTATGAATTGATGGTTATAAGCCACTCTCTGGACACTGGGAGTGCTCATTGCTAATAGGTTTTCATTGTTTCTAAGTCTTGATTTCAGTGGGCAGAACTAGAAATATATGTACATAGTGACTTCACAGTGGTACTCCCATTTCACACAAAGAACTATAGGCTTTTTACTTAAGCTTATCAATCTTATCTCTGCATCACCTTTTTTCTTCCCCAAAATTCCAGTGTTCGATTATACCAACACAATTATTCATTTGCTTTATTGTATAATTCACATATAATAGTCTAAGAATAATAATACAAATATTATCACCTACAATATGATTATTGTAAGTGGCTTTAATGTTCTCTTTCAGCTCTTTTTATTCCTAGGGTATTTCCCTCTAGGAATGCAATCAAATAACTGTGTAAAAAGACATTTGGTGTAGTTCCTCTCTGTGTGGTTAGACATGTAGGTTCATTTGTTTGCTTGTTTTTACAGTTTAATGTTCTCTTTCAGCTCTTTTTATTCCTAGGGTATTTCCCTCTAGGAATGCAATCAAATTACTGTGTAAAAAGACATTTGGTGTAGTTCCTCTCTGTGTGGTTAGACATGTAGGTTCATTTGTTTGCTTGTTTTTACAGTTTTTTTTTATTAAGAATATTCATGAGATACAAAGCTAACTGTCACTCCTTCTGCCCATGATGTGAGGGCCAAATTCACACTGGGGGCACACCTACCACCAGAAATTACCCTTGCATCCCCTGTCCCCACCCAACCATCACCCCCTCACCCTCACCCTCTCCCCCCCACTCTACCCTGAAGCCCCAGGAGTGCTCCCTCCCTCCCTCCCTCTGTCAGACCACGACACCACTGTGGTCTTTCTTTCCTTCCTTCTTTCTCTCTTAGCTCCCATATATGAGTGAGTACATGTGGTATTCGTCCCTCTGTGCTTTGCTTATTTCACTCAACATAAGTTTCTCCAGGTTCATCCATGTTGTTGCAAATAATAGTATTTCATTCTTTTTTATGACAGAGTAGTATTCCATGGTGTATATATATCACAGTTTCCTTATCCAATCATCCATTGATGGACATTTAGGTCGGATCCATATCTTGGCTATTGTAAATACAGCTGCGTTGAAGATGGGGGTGCAGGTATCTCTTCAACATGGTGATTTCCATTCAGAGGTTTTTTTTAAATACATTTAGTTTTATAATTAGTAAGATATTTTCATGATTCTAAAGTCAAGTTTACTGTAAGCAAGACACAATTGAAGAAGTTTAAATTCTATCCCTATTCTTCCACATATTCCCTATTCCCTCCCTTCCTCCACTCATAAATAATAATTTTTACTGGTTTATACCAATTTATATCAATTTTTAATAAATAAACTAAGAAATGTATGTGTGTGTTTGTAAAAAGAGGGAAAGAGAGAGGACATCTCCCTTTTTTAGATAAGCGGTAGCATGCTATACACAATTTTCTCCCCTTCTGGAGACTATTCCATCAAAGTATAAAGAGAGATTCATTTCTTTTCAGAGCTGCATCATGTCATATTCCATGTGTACACTATAGTTTATTCAGCCAACAAAATGAACATTTCTGTTCTTTCCAAATTTTGCTATTAAAAAATCTGCCAAATGAATAACCTTATGCTTATGTCTGTTCATATTTTTGCTATCCACTGAGACTTTAAAATAAGGCAAAGAAAAGAAACTAGCTGAGTATTTTAAATGCTTGAATTCAGGGAAGCTAACCATGTGTTTCTAGGGCATCACATTTTTCATTTCAACAGTAGAAATGAAAGACTTTGAAATAATGACATCCCCAAAGCTGCAGTAAAAATAGCTTGTGAGCATTCTTGGGAAGGAAGCTGTCCACTTTCCAATGCAAAGAGAAGATAGGACAAGAAGGAACTAATGTGTACCTGAGTGCCTACTACGTGCCATGTGCTTTATCTATAGCATCCTAAATAATTCCTATTTCAAGTCTGAGAAACTGGCACTCATCTCAAGTTCAGAGGTAAGAAAACTAAGATGAAGTCACTAGTCCAGGGTTACAGTGCTTTAATGTGAACTAGAACTCTAAGCCTTATCTGTCTGACAACTAAATCCGTGATCCTTCCATTACTAGTTTATTCATTTCTTCTCTATTGCCTAGTGGTTAAGACCTCGGACTCTGGAATCCAATTCTGAAATTATGTTCAAATCCTGGCTTCACCACTAACATGTGCATGATCTTGGTTAAGTTATTTAACCATGTTTGCTTTGATTTTCTCATCTGTAAAATAAATATTAATAATAACACCTTCCTATTAGGGTTGTTGTATAGATTAAAGGATATTATTATTATTATTATTATTATTATTATTATTATTATTATTATTATTATTATTATTATTATTATAGATATATTGCTTAAAACATTGCCTGGCACATAATAAGCACCACCTAAGTTTTAGCTAGTTTTATTATTGTAACTTATTCATTGAGCCAATAAATATTGATTGAGCACAGGCCCTGTGCCAGAATGTTACTACCTGGTAAGTATATGAGTCTGCTTGGGCTGCTGTAACAAAATACCATCCACTAGGTGGCTAAAACAACAGAAATTTATTACTCACAGTTCTGGAGGCTGGAAAGTTCAAGATCAAGGTCTTGCAGGGTTGGGTGTCTGAGGAGGGCTCTCTTCCTGGCTTGCAGATGGCCACCTTCTTGTTATGTCCTCACATGGCCTTTTCTCAGTATGTGCACATGGAAAGAGAGAAAACTCTCTCATGTCTCTTCTTATAAGGACAGAAATTTCATCATGAAGGCCACACCCTCATGACCTCCTCTAACTGAATTATCTTACAACGGTCCTATCGCCAAATACCATCACACTGGGGGTTAGAGCTTCAACATATGAACTTGGGCAGGGGAGGAGGACACAAATGTCCAGTCCAAAACAGTAAGAATATAATGTTGAACAGGTGAAAGGTCCCTGACCATAAGACACCTACAGTCTGATAGAGGACACAGGCATTATCAGATAATCACTCACATGAGTTTAAAATCACAGATGCAATAATGTTAGGAAGGGCAAATACACATCCCTGTGAGATATAATCATCCTCTGACCACTTAGCCTCAGGCAAAATGCCTCCCAAAATGTTCATATCGAGCATGATTTTGCCTGTGAAGAGCCCAGAGATACCCTCCCACCTTCCAGACGTGTGTGCCTGAAGCCTATACCCCGGAAGCTTACCTGTTTCTTCTCTTTCTCTTGCATGAACTGCAGCTGGAGTACACAGCTCGCCTGGACTTCCTTTGGCGAGTACAGGCCAAAGAGGAGATCAATGAGATGAAGGAGCTGCGGGAACACAATGAGAACATGCTCCGGAATATCTTACCCAGCCACGTGGCTCGCCACTTCCTGGAGAAAGACCGAGACAATGAGGTGAGTCCAGGCTTATGTGGCCAGCAAGAAGGGGTGGTGGGGAGTGGTGTGCAGTTGTTCACATTGATCCCAAGCTCTGGGGAAATTCCATTGTCCTCATATGAGCACATGAGAGGCCATGCCTACCACATGGTGCCAAGCAGCTCAAGCTGCCTAGCACTAAGAAATACACGCATGGCCTCCTCCAGCCTCAGGTGCCTCAGCTATAACATGGGTATAATTAGATCTCCACTGCAAGACTGAATTAGAACTTTGAAGGTTTGTGTACGTGCGTGCATGCATTTAAGTACACACACACACACACACACACACACACTCCATAAAGGGTCTTCAAAAAATTCAAAGAAATATTCATATTATCTTTTAATTCTATTTTTCCACAAACCTTTTGAAGTATGTGTGTGTGTGCATGTGAGTATGTGTGGTTGCGTTTCTCCAATAATTCCATTTCTGGGTATGTACCCAGAAGAATTGAAACAAGTGTCTCAGAGATATTTGTATACCTAGCAGCATTGTTTACAATAGCCAAAAGGTGAAACAACTTAAGTGTTCATCGTTGGATGAATGGATAAACAAAATGTGATACATACACACAATGAAATAGTATTCAGCCTCAAAAAGGAAGGGAATTCTGATTCATGCTACAACATAGATGAACCTTGAGAACATTATGCTAAGTGAAATAAGCCAGTCACAAAAAGACAAATACTGTATGATTCTACTTATGTAAGGTACCTAGAGTAGTCAAATTCATAGAGACAGACAAAAGAATGGTGATTGCCAAGGAGAGGGAGGAGGGGAGAATGAGGAGTTACTGTTTCATGGGCACAGAGTTTCAGTTTTGCAAGATGAACAGAGTTTTGGAGATGAATGGTGGTGAAGGCTGCACAACAAGGTGAATATATTTAATGTCACAGAACTGTACACTTAAAAATGATTAAGATGAGTATATTAATCTGTTCCTGTTGCTTATAACAGAAATACCTGAAACTGGGTAATATATGGAGAAATAATATTTGTTGCTTACAGTTTTGGAGGCTGGGAAGTCCAAAGTCCAGGGAACACATCTGGAGCAGGCCTTGGTGGGTAGTGACTTTCACATCAGTGCAGGTGTCACATGGTGAAATGGCTGAGCAAGAGAGAGACTAACCTCTTCACTCGCTCTCTCTTAAAGCCATCATAATCATGCCAATTACCACCCATTAAACCATCAATGGATTATCCATTTATGACGGTACAGTCCTCACAGTCTAATCACCTCTCAAAGGCCCCACCTTCAAATACCATAACTGGATTTCCCACCCTCCTAACACTGTCACAGTAGGGATTAAGTTTCAATGAGCTGTGGGAGGACATTCCATTCACAGCACTGGTAAGTTGTATGTTATATGTGGTTTTACAACAACTTAAAAAATAATAATAATATAGTATATATATATATATATTCATAAATATTTTTGTGGTTTTACATGTATGTGTCTGTATTATATGTAGATATATATGTGTGTATATCCATCTATCCATTTATATTGTCTTAGCACATTGCCTAGCATATAGTATATGCTCAGAAATGCTCTTTTTACTTAAAACTGTTTTTTTCTTATCATATAATGCCTGAAGAGCCACTCGGTGAAGGCAATGCAGAAGTCTGAAATCAAGGTGCATGCTCAGAAATGCTCTTTTTACTTAAAACTGTTTTTTTTTTATCATATAATGCCTGAAGAGCCACTCGGTGAAGGCAATGCAGAAGTCTGAAATCAAGGTGTTGGGAGACATGTGCTTTCTCTGGACGGTCTAGGGGAAAATCCCTCACTGCTTCTTCCAGCTTTTCTGGTAGTCCCGTGTTCCCCAACTTGTGGCCACATCACTCTAATCTCTGCCTCTGTCTTCACATGGCCCTTCTTATAAAGGCATGTGTCCTCTCCTCTTTTATAAGGACACCAGTCATTAGATTTAGGGCCCACACTAATCTGGTATGATCTCATTTTAACTTAATGGCATCTGCAAAGACCCTCTTTCCAAATAAGGTCACATTCTGATGCCCCAGGTGGACATAAACGTTGAGGGGACACTATGCAGCCCTTCAAGGATAACAGTAGATGGTGAGTTATGTGGAAGGAACCCTGGCTGGAGCCTGGTGGGTGGGGCAGTGTTCAGGTTTGAGCACACTTTAAAGTGGAATGGGAGCCTTTGGAAAGTTTTAAGTTTAACCTAATTGATTGGCTGCTGGTAGAGAATGGTTAGGAAGATCACAAGAGTGGAAGCCAATTAGGAGACCCTAAAACAGCCAAATAAAACCCTGCTAAGGAGGCCTAGGATGGTGGCAATGGAGATGGAGAGAAGGAGATGAGTTCAGATGCCTTAGGAGGTGGGATCAATAGGACTCAACAATGGAGCAGACGTGGGAGGTAACAAATGAAGAAAACAAACAACCTGGCTCACCCCCTAACTTCCAAGGGAAAGTAACTCAAGAGGAAACTGAGAGGTGCCTTTGAATGCCTGAAGGGTGTCCATGTGACGGGATTTGGATTTACTCTGTAAGACTCCTGAGGGAAGACCTAGAACCATGAACAGGACCACAGGGAACACCTTTGGGCTTTGTATCAGGAAGAGCCTTACAAGGATAGAGCCACCAGGCCATCTTGTCCCCATGAGACTGTGAGATCCACTGGGGTAGGGCCCACATCGGCCTTGGTCACCCCTATTCCTTGGGGCCTGGTGTGTCTGCCCTGCGGCCTCTGCTCATTATAGGTCTGCAGGTGAACCGGAGTGGTGAGTTCCCTTGCTGAAGGATTCACTAGGGAGAGCTGACCCAATGCACAAAGACACTACAAAGGCAGTATTGTGCGGGAGGTAGGGCTAAGACAACCCTCCCAAAACTAGATTTTCAAACTGAGCTAAAAGGGAGTGAAAGACTCTTAGAACAAAGGTTACAAACTGGATGACCCCAGGACAAATCTAGCTAGTGATCCAGTTGGCGGGGACAGTGGCTCATTGTTGGTTGGTTGGTTTATTTGTTTTAATTTGTGGATGTGGACGCCTTTAGGTATAGAATGGGCTCTCCAATTTACCCATCTATACCCTGCCACTTATGTTACCTGCAAGGGCCCCTATAGACATTCAGGTTTCTGATCCTTGTCTTGAGACTCTAGAGAGTAGAACTGGGAAAGATCTATAGGGTCCATATCCCATCCAAGCCACCAAAGAAGGACCACTGGAAGAGAAGCCAAGGGAATGAGTAATCAGTGACTTGAATCATCACCTCTCAAGGTACTCAGGTCCTTAAGGGTCTCTCAGACACAGACCAAAGTACCACCCAACCTTCCTCAACAGATGGAGTTCTCTGGAATTGAGCTTAGGCCTGGTTTTCTCAATGCTCCCTAAGGTCGGAGACTTTGTTGCAAGAGCTTCTTGACAAAGCCATGAAAGCAGAGAGAATGTTGATGTGCATCAGACATGACCACCAGATGGAGAGGGTGAAACACTGGAACCTCAGAGGGGAAACCCAAAGAGAAATGAAAGGGAAGCTGCTTTCAGTCAAGACACCAAAACAATAAGATATTTGGAACGAGTGGGAAGAGCAAGGACATACCGATTTTATCCTGAAAGGAAGGAAACCAAGCAGAGATGCATCCCAACACTCCAGGGTGTCATCCGGGCCAACCCCCCTGGAGCAAAACTAATGTCAGCTTCTGCCTTAATCGTGTGAATATGACATTTTCAGTAAAATACCTTGTCAGGATTATTCGAGGTTTTATAAATATTTAAACAGTTCACACTCAACTAGGATTAAAACTGAACGTGTTTGCATTGCCTAGAGAATTTTCACATTACGATGAAATATCATTTACTGAACACCTACTGCGTGCCAGATACCAAGAGAGGCAATTGACAAAAACTTTCTTTCATTCCATTCACAGCCTTATGAGGAGAGTTCTATCAGCTCCACGTTACTGATGAAAGAACTGGGGCTCTGAGAGGTTCACGGCCCGCCTCGCTTTCTTCAAGCAGAGCTATACCTCAAATCCAGTCCCTTGTACTTCTTTCTTCTGTGCCACCTGCCCCCGCTTCCCAGGCTGCTGCCATTGTTGTCCCCAGAGTGAGGCAAGACTAGGAGTGTGTGTGTTTGTATGTGTGTGTGTGTGTGTGTGCGCATGTGTAGGGGAGAAAGAGGGAGAAAAACAGAAAATGTAGTATAATATGTGAAGGGTGACAGAGCAGGGGAGGACTGCTGTGGCCTGCCAGAATTCCCAATTTTGTGTCCTGTTACTGTAAGTGGCAAAGCCATCTTTAGCTTCTCCTCTTGTTACAAATCTTAACTGTGCTACAAACCTCAGAAAATCTGATTGGGACATCTGTGTTTCACGGGGCCACAGCAGTGCCCAGGCATGGCCTTTTCCTTCCTGGCCAGGCATCCCCCATGGGCTCCGTCCCTGGGGTGGCAGTACATTCACAGTCGAACATCAGCTGACCTAGAGGAGCAGTCACTTCGTGCAAATAGACTCCGACTGACTTCTTTGCATGTATGTGGGCCTCACTCTTCAGGAAATGATTCCACAGGCCTCACTCAAAGAAGATCAGACTGCACAACCTCTGGCTGGCAAAGGCAGATGACTTCTTGTGTGTAACCGGTGTATGTGTCCCAGACCACAGCAGCCAGGGGTGAGCTCAGAGCCACCACTGGCATTGTTGCTGCAAGCTCAGCCTCTCTTTCCTCTCCTCTCTCAAATTCCAACCCTTCTTCAGTCCCTCCAAGGGAGACCGTGAGAGCTAGTGGGAAAAGCCCAAGCTATTACACCAGTGAGACCTGTGTTCAAATCCCAGCCCTGCCATTTACCAGCTGTGTGATTTAGGGCAAGTTAGTGGAGGGAAAGCATTCCAGGCAGACAGGCCCAAGTGGCCAAAGGCATAGAGATGCAGTACTGTAGGATATTTGCTGAGAAGCAGGAGTGGGAAGACCACAAGCACCCTAGTATTTAAAAAAGAATAGAGATCAAAGC